AATCAGCTGATTAACTAAACGGTGTATACATGACTGAATACACGGTTGGTTAGTTACATAGAGGTGGAAATGGATATGAACCTTAAAGCTGACTGAAATATCGTTTTTGAATATGGTCCACACAGAAGATTACTTTTAGTTATCCATGTCTTGATACTCTGTTAAAAAAAAACAATGTCAGAAAACCACATGAAAAACCTGCATAATTTGATGTGGGTTGTCTATGGTTGACCGTAAGATTTTAATCAGTTTTTATATGGTTTTTGGTCTCAAATCTCCACATAGTTATGAAACCACGTAGTTTTTCAAAATAATAGTTTTCTTTTGTATTTTTTGACGAGAAAATGTGACCTGGGGCGCTTACTGAACACTCTATTAATTAATAGATTAATAAATAATAACCCAAACGCTAACCACCACATAACCCGGGGCACTTACTGGCTTCCAATTATCAAAATAAATTTACACAATTCCAGTCTAAGCATTTGTCTATATACTTCGTGTGGTAAGTCAATGTGCATAAGCTCGCAGAATGTCTATTTGAGTTATCCACAATAAAAATCCCTATAAATTTAAACATACAAAATCCATGTAGACAATAATATGAAAAATTCATATTAATTTCTTTGTAGTTATTCTGCGTTCATTGCACGTAAAAAATCTATGTTGATTTCTGCGTGAAAAAACCTTGAAGACATTTACTATCTGGAAATTCGATGTCGAAAAAAATCTGAAAATTATCATGTGCAAAGAATTATGCATATTTCTGTCATAAAATGGTAATTAAAATTCCCGTATAAAAACAAAAAAAAATATCCACATAGATCAAAGGTGTAGGTTTCCAACGAAATAAATGTAGGTGAGCAATTCATGTGTATTAAACGGGGAAACTTGATGTATAGTCCTACATAAAAAATCCATGTGGAATTTCAAATGGAAAATCCATGTAGGTGGCCTTGTAAAACATACATGTATATTTTTGCGGGAAAAATTCGTGCAATGCTAAACAAATAAGAATCACTGACTTTTTTTACAAAAAGTTCGTCAAAATTACTCCGTGGAAAATCCATGTAGATTTCTATGAGGACAATTTACATTCAACTCTATGTAGAAAATCCACATAGATTCCCACGTAGAATCCATATAGATCCATGAAGAATCCACATCGAATCCACGTAGAATATCCACGTGGAAATCTACATAGATCCTTTACATAAGTACACTAAATATACTTTAAAAACTAGTCTGATACAGATCTGTATGAAATCGAATTTTATGATTAATGGATAACGCAATAAGATGGTAAAAATGAGAAAAAAATATTTTCACAAACATTTTCAGCATACCAAAGATCTCTTCAGCCGCAAATTATAGAGAATTAGAATTTAATTATATATTTAAGCAAAGTAGAGTTATCAAAACCAATTTTGATTTGACTGCATTACTTTTTATAATAATTAAACGTTATTGAGGCGTAACCATTTGATAAATTAAATTTACAGGAATATTCTACTATGTAATCATTTTTTGCACGCTCATGCTTATATTTAAGAGTCTCAAATTTTGCAAAATACCTTAACTTGTGCTAAAATGTGCTATGAACAGTTTTCGTTTCCTTTCGATGCAAAATTAATATAAGATATTCAATACATGTATTATTTAAGGAATATTAGATACAAAAATGGTTAAGAAAATTTTCATACGCTTCATATAAAAATACAGAAATAAATTTAAAAAAAGCTAGAAAAAGTGCATTGAACCGTAAAATTTTGGGTTTGAAAGCAAAAATTTTACTTCTGAACCAACAACTACACAGATCTGCTCGGAGATTTTGTGGAATTTTATGAGGTTCCCCTGCATAAGCTTTTGAAATGCATGTTGAGAAAAGTTAATATAAAACTTTTTTTTATAGTTTCATTATCGATATTTTCTTAATTGTAGTTTAGACGTGTTTTTCAGTATAGTTTCGCATTAAAAATCAGTAATATATATGATACTAATAAACAGGCATTTTGCTGTACTGCTCGGAAGGTAATAGTTATCGGCATCTATGGGGAAGTTACCTGGTTGCGCCCCGACACTAACGCTGCCTGCCTTAAGGGGGGCATAACTAAAATATTAAGAGAAAATACTGCAGATGCGAAAACGGCCGATGGCCGATCTCGCCCACGGTGGCACGGTGTAAGATAAGACAGATGGAATTTATGCTTTGTGCGGTCTGTTGCAATTTTGTAGCAGTACCAAAGTTGAGTACTAGGAGGATCGGTGTCGAAAAGGCAGTAGCAGACGAAAAAACAATTGTAACGTAAAAGGTGCACCACAGTGTAAATACCAATTCTACTTAACATTTCTCACAATATTGTTCACGATAAGTTGTATTACTTATTACGTTACTGGCTTTATTTGTCGAAAATTACGAAAAAAATTTGAAAAATGCACCACATGTCACATTACTTTAAATAGTGATACCGGAAACTCTGTTAGACCAGAAGCATTATTAATTAACTTAAAAAATAGGGGAGGACTCATACATGAAAATATTCTTTTTTACAAACTCTTTAAAAAAATAGAAAAATATTTTAGGGAAGCCATAAATAATCAGCTTGTCAATGTTTACGAATATGTTGTTGAAAATTTTTTGCGCAATTGTAAGTTTCAGTTCCCTTGTAAACTACGTAAAGAGAATGCAATATCCAAATCTATCTATTATTACACTAGCATGAGAATGAGACAGTACGTTAACATACAAAGTAAGGATGTTTTAAAAGAAAGTAGAGAGAAAAAAAAATTATCGAAATTGGTTTCAACCTAATTTTTAGTTCATTAATTTATTGCCTCCATTGTATCTTGTTCTACGTATTAGTAGTAGATTGTAAAATTTGTAAATAAATAGAGTTACGATTATATCACATAGTTTTTATGTCTATATATTGTGCCTTTCTCACTCATACGCCATCTGATGAGTAGGATCGGTACTGCTACAAAACTGCAACTCGTTGGAGGTGTGGTACTTCGTACCACCTGGGGCCTGGGGCCCTATGCCCTATCCTCTAAGCGTGTCAGCATAACACAGAGATATCGTGATATAGAAAACGAAAACACATACAAAGCGTACTATCTTTTCCAAAAATACACTGCAACAAGCCCATTTTACAATTAAGTAGCAGGTAACAGCGGGTTAATTTAATTAGTGACTACAAATTCATACGTATATTTTAAAAAACTCAAAATTAACCAATACAAAGTGTATTATTTCCTATGTATCCATCATTTGCAATTATACAGTATGCTTCTAACAAGTGTGAATCTTTTCTGTTAAGTACTTATTAATGCACGAAAATATAAACAATAATCATAACAGGAAATAGCTAATAAAGCATGGAAAAATAAACATTGAAAATTGTCATTAAAACTATGTGCATATAAAAACTGTAAAGTTAAGGTTATGGATCAGAAACTTACCAGACGATAGATTAGACCTTAGTATTTTTGTTTTGTTATTTTTACTAAAATAATATATTAATAGTACTATTACACTAAATAATAATATTTTGTGGATAAGGCTGATTTCTGTTTCAAAATTTAACAATTCAATCACCAACACAGTGTATGATATTACAGAATATTGTAACTATCTTATAATTTTTTCGCATGGCATTATGCATAGTGAATATTTTTTAAATTCATATCTTATTTACATATGCAGCCAAATGTTGTATTATCTGTCAAACTGACTCAAATGTATTTATTACTACTATTCGATCATTAAATACAGAACCAAGTACCTTAAAAAATTGTTATAATTCAACATCTCATTTGATCAGATAATTAATATTAATAGTAACTCGGAGATAAATTTGTGAACTCA